GTGTGGAGGAGATTTGAGCACAGTGAACTTATTGTCAAGAAACTAGCTTAAGATATCAGTTTTATAATACTTGAGTTTTGTGACACGGTCTGTTATCTTGCTGGAAGCAGCCATCGGAACATGGCACACTGTTGCAATTAAGGCACGTACACTCATGCAGCAAAAGCCACATCATGAAGTGCCTTCCCTTTCCCTCAAACACCCTCCAGTCTTCCTGTTCAGGATGCATTCATTCCTGTGACTTTCTAGTTCATGTTGACATGATTGCAAAACGTTCTTTAGAATTTTTAGACCGAAGTCTTCATTCTCTGTTTGTGAAATCAGTGTTGTCAAGGAGCTCAATGAATGAAATTCTCTCGTGATTTTGATGTGAATCACGTACACAAACACTTGTGTGGTCCACTGATTGTGAGTGCAAACTGAATAAACAGCAGCTGATTGGGGCACAGGTAAAATAACTGATTATGAGTGGATTATAAAACAGCATCTTTAACCTCCTTGAGCCTGGTTCTGCTAGAGGCTTCTTCCTGTTAAAAGAGAGTTTTTCCTTCCCACTGTCGCCAAGTGGTTTCTCTTTTGGGCTTCTCTGAGGGTCTTTCCTTTACAATATAAAGCCACTCGAGTTGACTGTTGGTGTGATTTGGTGATCAGAGAGCTTCAAAGAGGATCATGATGCCCTCTCCATACTATTTTTCTTTTGTATTACCTCTTAGAATTACTATTTACAACTGAAAGTCTCCTGAGAGGAAGGTCAGAGGGTCAGGAAGGTCTCTGTGCTGCCTCTGAATTCTGTTAATCTGCATTTCCACAGCAATGTGCAGCTGTACTTATTAATGCAGCCCTAAAGGCCCACACAAGTTTCCTTCAGGTTGTCATAGAAACTCTGTGTAGGCTAAGTGCTTGGAGGAGGATAAATCATCTCCTCTGTTTGGTATGAAATACAGATGAGTGAAAGTACTTATCTCCAGCAACTGATAAACAGGCTGCAGCTAATCAGAACAAGAGGGCCCACGGCAGCGCCACGGACACTTGAGCTGATATCGGCTGCCGTGACACATCTGAGGCCCTGCTTATTGTATGCAGATGGGCGACGAATCAAAGGAAGGCGGACTTCATTTAGTCTAAATCTTAGTAGAACCTTGTAATCCCACAAAATGTTGCTCTTTTTTTGTTTTTCCTTTCTGAAGTTTATACTTGTGCCATAATAAGTAAATAAATATACCCAGTAGTTTGATAAGATTTGTATATATGTGTACATGCAGAGCATTGCAAAAAACTCTCTCTATTTTATGAGTCTTAATTTGTGCATTTGTGTTTAATTTAACACCCGAGTAGGTGGACATTGCAGATGCTAGCAGTATTACTTGTGCTGTTGTTTTGGCGGTGACATCTCTGCACCATTTTACCACCAAAACACCAAATCATCCATTCTCTTCCAGTAGGTTAAAAACAAACAAACAGGGGAATTAGAAGTAGCTGGAGAAGCACTGGTGGAAACAGTGGGACTCAGCAAACCATACAGCGGCAGTGGTGGATGTCTGGTTTTGGTGTGGGGATCTATTGCGTAGACTGAAGACAAAAATATCAATCTGATCCACAGTTTTTAACTTGCTGCCATCTTTTGGTCAAATTTGTTCAACATTTAACCTAATAGATAAAAACACTCTCATAATCTTCAGCTATATTGTAATTTGCTCAGTATATATGATGGTTTTATATGGCAATAAACCCAAACACATCAGCATGTTTAACATGAAAAGCACCATTTAGCTCAAGAATAGCCTCAGGGGGCTGCTGTCCTTCGGTTTCTTTATATTAGCCTAATCTTGTTATCCTGTTGCAGGCCCCGAGCTCAGGCTAACGGTCCTCAGCTTCATTCTTCAGTGATACTGTTCATTCAAACTCACGTATTTTCAATTAGTATGTGCTGAGATTTATTCATAGTCTATTTAATGTGGACAACAGATAAAAAAACCTTGAGAAAAAGGTCTGGGCTGTGCTGTGCTGGGCTGCCGAATGGCAGCTGGTAAATGGAAAGAATGGAGTGTAACTTAACAAGTACAAGGTACATGTGAATTAAAAACAAATGCATCCATGGAGCTGTTTCAGGAGAACAAATGAACCTTGATATGGAGTTAGATATTGGCTCAGGCTTTACTGTATCTTTTCATAAAGAAAAGCAGGAAGCTCCCATCTGTAGCAGCCTGAGGATGCTGCACACACCCTCTCAGGCCTGGAGCGTATGCAACTGTATTCGTTAAAATAACTAAAGTAATGGGACGATAATGCAAAACATAGTAAAATAACTAATGGCAGTGGAGGCCATAGAAATGGCTTCATGTGGTTTAAAATGGATAAGGACACAAAACGAGCCACAAGAAATGGAAACAAATGTGTGTTGTGTTTTTGTGACATGCTGCTAGTAACAAAGTGCCAGAAGATACCATTTAAAATGGGTTCGTTGCTAAATTAGATGTTATGCGTAAAAACAACATTTGTTTATTCCTTGAGTTTGGTCCCTTTTCATGTTTGCTTAGGTCATTGTTTAAATGAGTTTGCAAATAAAAGACATTCCATTGAAAATGGTCAGAGGACCGACCAGTTTCTTTGCTGAGTTTCATGTTTTTATAATGAGAAGCACTTAAAATCAGGTGAAATGAATCAATCTGGGACATGAAGATGTTGATGGAAGCTGATGGTCCTGGTCAGGCTTTGGGTCAGCCTAACAAAAGCTGCTGTATACCAGCAGTTTGGCTGCACCACTCTCCACGGGTCATCTGATCCTCTTTATTTGGGACTGTTCCCCTCTTCTTGTTTAGCTCAGAGCGAGCGTGCTGCCAGCTGGTAATCAGGTCTGATTAGAGACTGTTCACCTCAGTTTATATTCAGCTCGTCGATGACTGGCTGAGGGCTGTAAATGAATTTGATGCCTGTCTGATTGACTTGGAAATGCACAGTCAAGCCAACATGCAAGAGACAATTGCACTCTGACAGGGTTTAGCATGCAGTAATTACCATGTGCCTCCTGGCAGAGAACTAAAGACGCTTTTCACAGATCCCGGTGCACCTGGACAGTAAACCTAATGAGGCGTGCGGACCGAGAGAGTCACTGCTCGACCGGTTCACCACAACACTGAACTGGAATCAAACAAAAAACTAAGTTTATGTTTGGTCATCTGTGAGACTTAGTGAAAGTAATGATCCCACTTGGCCAACCCCTCTTTGTACACCATAATCACCTGTTCTGTGTATCTGGATTGCCCTAAAGCCACTCTAAGGACAATCCCAAAGTCTATTACATAGCTAAATCCTTGTGTTTCTTCTGGCAGACGAAACACAGCAAAATCCACAAGTTTTTCATCTCTGCTGTCCAAATGAAAATATTATTTAACAGTTAAATTATATTTAAGTTAACTAACAGTTAAAAATAAAACAGCTTTAAAATCTAAAAGATCTCAAGTTCAATCAAGCTAAATGTGATGACTTTAAAAATAATTATAATAACATGAATTATAATTTAAAAATAATAATTTTAGAGGCTGAAAATGTGTTGGCAGTTCACAAATGCTTTTGATGAGACACAAATAGCACACAATACACCGATAGTTCTCTCAGCTGAAATACAATTTCGCTGCATATGTCACATATGCACATGTCACGTGTTGGTTAAAATACACAAACATATGTCAGTTTTTAAAAAAAAGTAATATTACATTTTTATCTCTAAATTATTCCCATAGAAGATAAAATGTTCCCCTGCCCCAAGGGAGCATTAGCTGGCTGAAATAGGTGCTCAAGTCTAATCTGGGATTAGAACTGAAGCTCCGTATATTGCCAAGGGATTTTTCTTTTAACCTTATGTGTGCAGGTGATGTATGAGTGGAGGCGGGGCTATGTGGCAGAGTGAGCATAACGATGCCTCTCTCTTTGTTCACCCACATTATTGTTCATCAGGTGACAGACTCCCTGTTCATTTCTGTATACATATGAAAGTCATATCTGCTCCTCTCATTGGGGATACCTCAAGGCTCTGACCTTGGACCACTTCTGTTTTTCTGTAGGCATTCACAGCTGTAATATTTGGCTAAACCTTCAGTAGCACCTCCTCCCTCAGCAACTTCTTCACTGATATTACTTTAAATTTCTTCCTTCCCCTAGGACCTTGTGATGTCACCATGGAGTCATCACATGACGCCCATGCCAATAACATCTACCTGTATGCTACCTGAGCACATGAGTCCATTTTTGTCTGTGGTTCACACCACTGGTTGCATGTATACCACAAATAGTTTAAAAGATAATTGTAGCTACTGTGATGTCACCTATTGATGAGTGAAGTTTACCAAGGTTCGATCTGAATGTTTTCACCTTCGCCATGTTCGTTCTTTGAAATTTGAAATGTGATACTGAATGCAAATAACCTTACTTTCCGACAATGACGGAGAAGTTACAAAACAGAAATAAGCTTTTTCCCCTGAGATGCATGCCTCCACATACAATGATTCCTGTTTTATCGCAAAAGTAACGTGATGGAATTTGTGAAGCACAAAAATGCCATAAGGAGGAGGTCTGTGTGGATGGGCTAAAAACAAAAGCGACTTTAAAGCAGGAGACCTCCCAGTTTCAGTCTGTCAGTGTTTTGTTTTTTTCTTATCATGACCATCATGATCATTTGTTCATCAGTTTGTGCGGCCCTTTGCCATATGTTTGAGCTCAGTAAACTGCAAAGGCAAAACTTCAGCAGCACTGATGACATATATGTCACACCAGTAACAGAGAATTTTCTACTGTGAATTCGAACTTTTAATTCTGACGATTTTGCAGCAAGCTTTTAATAGAAACAATAAAACGTTGGCAGCTATTTTTACGAGCACTGCCTGGCCCATGAGTACTGTGTTTGCCGTGAGCAGTGATGGCAGCTGGAGGATGCACGGGACTCCTCCCCTCTCCTCTCATCTCAGACCTGCCCGCTCAGTGTGCGCCGACTTCGGACAGCAGAACCTCAGGGGTCAATTATGGACGGCCGGTATCGGTATTTTTAGCGACTTTTTCACGGGTCAGAGCGTTTGGAAATATTTCTGTGGATTAAAAGAAGAAAGAAAGAAGTCTTCTTTCTGTGTGGGAAGATGGGATTATATCGGAGGAATCGTATGAGAATTGCTGCCTCGCAGAAATCTGCGTGAAAAGGCGTCAGACAGGTGACTTTTTCCTTCTTCTATCTCCAATAATTTGACCTTTAGATCCAGTTTATATATTTCAAAAATGCATTAAATATTTCAATTGTGCATAGCATTTCAGGGCGTTATAATAGATATAGTGAGTTCAAAGTGAATTTTTCCGTTAAATCTTGTCTTGTGTGTAACTTGTAACCCTCAAATAATCAACTTCAAAGGTTTATGTTTGGTTCTAATAAAGGTTTTGGTAAAAGATAAAGACATGTGCATCTTAAGGAATGGGATATTTTAATGAAAACAAACACGTGAGATTGTTTTGACCCTTGCAGAGCAATCCATTTTGCAGGGATAAAAAAAAAATCAACACATCAGTATGCGTTGTATGATTTCAATGAGTTCCTTCACCTCGGTCAGACTGTGTACATTTATGAGGGTACAGGCAGGCTAGTGTGGATTTTAGTGTGGAAGTTTCAAGCTATAAGTGATGTTTATGTTCTTTATAGCCTTCCAGAACTTTGCAAGCATTTGTATTTCTGTGTATTTTTTATGTTTCTATTTTTGTTTAGTTTATTTTCATTTGGTGTATTTTTATTAGTTAATTTATATTTAATTTCCTGATATATAAAACTTCTCTGTGTGGTGACTCCCAGTAGAAACCATGGAAGCAAGACAATGCAGATTAAAACTCATCCCCTAAAACACATTACGTGATTTCTGACCCTCAGTGTTCACCACAGTGTCAGAATATGATGTAACTCACACTCACAGACGGCCTGCCGCTTTTACCTTTCGTCACCCTTGGAGCTCTCGGCTTCTTGGTGAATGTCAGTGTCATTTAATTTAAGTGGGGACTGCTTAACCCCCTGGTATTAGCACTAATCTACATGAGTGCACGTGTTACAAACATTGCTGTTCCCCAGAGATCAGTGAGTCAGTATTGACCATCATCACCACTAAAAAATAAAAATAAACACAGAGAAACATACATAACAACAAAGTAATTTAAACCAAAAAAGGATTTAATCTCACACCTGTTACCCTCTTTTTGTTTTTGGTTATAACTTTTTAAAGAGGTCATAAAAACATAAAAATAAGAGTTTTTTTCTCTAATTCATTCCAAAACATCCTGGAGAGCTTCTACACACGCCTGCAGTTGTAGTCTACTTCTTGTTCAAATCTTTAACGTGCTGCACACCAAAGAACATTTGCAGCGTCCCTGTAAGCCATAGCTTAGTTATTTTAAAAGCAAGCTGATGGTTCACAGAGAGAGCGCACTGATCCTGTTTAGTGTTTAAGGTCATTATCGGGATGTATTTTTAGGTGCCACTCTCAGACAGACAGTGAAGAGTGGCGTTCGGTAAACACATTAACACACGAGTCACTGTTTTGCTGATCTTTGATTTCAGGCCCGTATGACCCCATCACATTTCACTGATTCTTCTCTGTCCCAGTGTCCAGGCCCGCAGAGCCAGGCAGGAGAAGATGGCGAAAGTCTGCAGTGAAAACTCCTTTTCAGCGAGAAGGCGGCTGTCCGCCAATGACGATGAGCTCGGTGTTATTGAAAATGGGGAGAGCAGGTCTGATGTTAGCTTTGCTGATGATTTTTGGGAGACTTTTGGATCCTTAACTGACTGAAATGAGACATCTTGACTTGTTTTATGAGGTCTTGTCAATATAATCATTCCCCTCCTGCTGTCTTCCAGAGTTCACTCTCTTTGTGGGGACAACTGTGACAGAGCACTGCGCTCAGAGTCCCACAGAGACTCATTTACAGGTGCCGGGGCAATGGCCAGGTAAATGCCAGCTGCAGTGCTTAAATTAGCCGGTATTTACCAAAGGTGGAAAGAAACGATTCTGAAGTTTCTCCTAAGCTATTCTGAAATGCAATATGCTGCTGATGAGCAAACCAATGGTTATCAGGTGGTGATAAGTTAGAAGTACTGCCTCAAACATACACATGCACCAGCCAGTCTGTCTTTTCGTTTATAGGCACATCTGCCCACACAAATGAATAGCTTCATGTTTGGGCACCAATTATTGCCGTCTCCAATTCGGTATTTGACCAAATGTCAACATTTTCTCTTCTGTTCCTGAGTTATGACTTTGAAATTAGCCAGAAATTAAAAAACATAAATAACTAAAAAAATAAATAAAAATTTAATGTTAATGCAAAGTTGATATATTTTGGATATAATGACTTCACCAAGTTAAAGACACTACTGTAAAGGGTTATTCCAAGAAAGACTTCTCAAATGATGCTCCTCAGAAACAGCTGATTTTGGTTTGTACAATAAGTTATATTTACTGACGAGATTATATTAGAATAATTGAAAACAAAACTGGCACTGAAACATATGAAAACTAAACATTTTCATCCAAAAGAAATATGACAAGACCAAACTTAGATTTGAAAACTAAATGAAACTAAACATAAAAGTTCACTTAATTACTGAAATTCATCATCTGACACTGAAAGAGCATGAACCACAGTTTGAAAAGTCTGAAGTGCTTGAGGCGAAGGAAACCGAGTTCTTTCCAATTCACCTCTCAGTCTGAGGGGTTTCTTCAGACGTTGCTCCACTCTACCATCATGTGAGTTGTTAGAGTCGCACAGGTGAAGGTGTGAATGGTGGTTTGATCACCTGGAAGGGGACCTCAGGACTAAGTTTGAAGTAGCTGATAGTTGGTGTTATAGACCACCACCTCTGGCCAGCTATGGCAGTTGGATGTAGGTGGCCTCCTTTACTCCTCTCTCAAGCCAGCTGTCTTCTCTGTGACATGTCTGATGTGTTGGCTTCCCCTCTAAGGTGAAGACCCAGCAGGAGGTTAAATACCCAGGACTCCCAGTCAGTTTTGAGTCCTGGAGAGGATGAAAGGTCTTCAGGAACTAAAAAGAACTCTGGCTGCCTTTTACTCAAGCACTTTAGACAACCATGGCCTGGATGAGTGAGAACCACTGACAGACAAACCAAGTGTCTAATGGTAGATGCTTTATTTTACGGATAGCCTCCAAGTAAAGGATCTGAATGTTTCTTCCACTGTGGGTATTTACCTTTGACATGACTGTTGATGGTTTCTAGCCTAGACTGGTGTCACTTTGTGCTGTTTTTACCTCCCGCTGACTCTCTAGACTGTCTTACTTCTTCTTCATGCTACGGAATTGGGCGTCTCACAGAGTGAAGCCTGAACAAGAGAGACACGACTCGTTCCTCGACCGCTTCAGAGGCCCAGAGCTCAAAGACACGTCCAGTCTACACAGCAGTGCTCAGTCTGCGGGGCATCACGACGCAGTCCGTAAGAGAAAGTAAGCGTGGTGTGGTGAGAGCTGCTGTGGTCAGTTTAAGAGTTTTGTCGAATCATAGCAGTTATGGTTTCTAATGTTTGAATGATTTAACACAAAACTGGACAAACAGGACACTTTACTCAGGGCCCTGTTTCCAAAAAAGTTTCATATTGTGGCTAATGTTTAGTCGTTTAGCACACAGACTCTTTGCTTGGAGAGCCATGTTGCTGTAATAACGTCCACATTGTGGTTCAAGATTCCTGTGGAAATGTGCACAACTTTACCTGAAAACTGAAAGCATGTTGCTCGACCCGATACCTGTCGAGGTTGAGCCCGTGGTCTTGGAACGTCCAAAAAAGAATTTAAAATTTGTATTGATTAGATCACTGAACAGTTTTATAGGCCCAAAGAAGGCCAGAGTTTCTAAATGGATGTTCTTTTTTCTTTATAGAAAAGACAGCAATTTGTTTATTGAAAGATGTGTTCCTGAGCCCAAGCACGCATCTCATTTCAAATTATTTACAGTATAATTTAGCTTTTATTTTTTTTATGAACGGTTAAAACAATGCTTTAATATCTTAAACAAGAAAGTTAATGTCACAGCTAACAGTGGGGAAGCTAATAGCCAAAAGCTAGCTCCCCATTCCCTTTTACCCCATTCAAAGATCAGGGTGAAGATAGATCATAAACAATTTTTTTGAACACCCTCCCAACCAATAGGAATGTGTGTAACCTAAAAGAAAAGAGGGGTTTTGCCATAAAAATATCACATTTATATGATGAATGAGAAGCCTCGTGCAAAAAGAAAGTAAAAAGAAAAAAAATTGTCTTTCTTTCCAAAAGCCTTGCCAGTAAGTGGCCGCTGGCTACTTACAACATGAATAACTGCAACAACACAGACGAGTAAGTGTGTGTCAGAAAATAGAAAAGAGTTTCCTTTAGAAGTGGACATTATCGATATTTGTTGTAGCTACAATGGCACGTAGCATAGCTATGTTAGCACCAAACTCCTTGAACCATGTCTTCACATCCTCCGCTTCTCTATGCTGTGCCTCCCACCCCTTTACCCACCTCAGGGGTTTTGTTGGAAGTCATGATGTGGATTATTTTGATCCAACTTTGGGGAAGTTCACATAAGGAACTGTAAGGTCATAAAGTGTGCTTAAAATAACAGGGACTACCTGTAGTATGATGCCATCTGCTGGACAAACGTATGACCTGCACCATGAATCCAAATGAATTGTTGCTGTAGACTCCTTTCAAGGTAGCTTTCTAGTCTTCTAGCAGTCCTTCATAGACCACCTCTGTCCTTTTTCACCACTATAAAAACACTAAACTTGTAATCCGTAGCAAAAAAGAGGACAAAAAAGAGGAGATTAAAAAAGATGAGAAAAAGGAGGAGAAAAAAGATGAAGAGAAGAAGGATGGGGACAAGAAGGAAGAGGAAAAGAAAGATGAGAAAAAAGACGAGAAGAAGGATGAGAAAAAAGACGAGAAGAAGGATGAGAAAAAAGACGAGAAGAAAGATGATAAGAAAGATGATAAAAAGAAAGAAGAGCCACCGTAAGTACCCGTTAAATTCAGAGTCTGCGGCAGCTGGTAAATTTAACTACAGAAACCACATCTGTCACTTTTCATCTCTGTGCAACATTAAACACCTTCTGATGCTTTGCTGGTTTCAGGAAAGAAATCTGGATTATGGATCCCGCTACAGATCAGTACTACAGGTGGCTCTCCGTCATCGCAGGCCCCGTGTTTTATAACCTAATGATCGTCATAACGAGGTAGGCATCCTTCACATATTAATAATTATTCACTTAAAGGAGCATTGATTTATTTGTTCTCCTTGTATTTTAGGGCCTGCTTTAATGAACTCCAGGAGTCGTATATACATTTATGGCTAATCCTGGACTACACCACAGACCTCATCTACTACGCAGACACATTTGTCAGAGCAAGAACAGGTCAGATTCCTGACGGCATTTACAGAAAGGATGTTTTTGTACACCAATTAAGATAAGATAAGATAAGATAACTCTTTATTGTCATTGCACAGTCACACATAGTACAGTAGTACAATGAAATTGGAAAAACTGTCCTACGTCGGCACTACATATAACACAACACGACACAATATGACACATCACAACGTAACAAACAACACAACACAGTATATTAACTTAGTATAAAAAAGAAGAATAAGTGTATGTGTATTGCACACTGTTATTATTGCACATTAATTATTATTGCACCTTGTTATAAATATAAATATTATTGTTATCGTTTTAAACATTGTTACCTCCCCCTAAAAAGTCCAAGGAGGTATCCAGTCAGGTCAGCTATTTACATTGATCAGGGCTATTGCCCTGTTGTAAAAGCTGTCCTTGAGTCTATTTGTTCGGGACCTCAGCAGCCTGAACCTCCTGCCAGACGGCAGCAGCTTAAACACCCGGTGTCCTGGGTTAGGCTGTACTGTAGCACAAGATCTGGCTTCTAATTTGGTGTTTGTCCCTCAGGTTACCTGGAACAAGGCCTGCTGGTAAAAGATTCCAAAAAACTGAGAGATAAATACAGAACAACTTCTCAATTCAAATACGACATGATTGCAATGATACCCACTGATCTGCTGTTTCTGAAATATGGAATCCACAACCCGGAATTCAGATTAAACCGCCTTTGCAAACTGCCAAGGCTTTTTGAGTTTTTCGAGAGGACTGAAACCAGAACCAGCTTTCCAAACATGTTCCGTATCAGCAATCTTGTGCTTTACATTCTTACTATCATCCATTGGAATGCTTGTTTATTCTTTGCCATTTCAAAAACCATCGGATTTGGGTCGGACACTTGGGTTTACCCCAATATCAGCCACCCAGAGCATGGCCGCTTGGCAAGAAAGTACATCTACTCCCTATACTGGTCCACGCTGACCCTCACCACTATTGGAGAGACCCCCGCACCTGTCAGGGATGTTGAATACCTCTTTGTTATTGCCGACTTCCTCACTGGTGTGCTGATTTTTGCCAGTATTGTCGGTAACGTTGGCGCTATGATCTCCAACATGAACGCCTCTCGCGCTGAGTTCCAGGCGAAGATTGACTCCATAAAGCAGTACATGCAGTTTCGAAAGGTCACCAAAGACCTGGAGGCCAGGGTCATCAAGTGGTTTGACTACCTGTGGACTGAGAAGAAAACCTGCGATGAAAAGGAAGTTTTAAAAACTCTCCCGGACAAGCTAAAGGCTGAGATTGCCATCAATGTCCATTTGGATACGCTGAAGAAAGTGCGGATTTTTCAGGACTGCGAAGCCGGTTTGTTGATTGAACTGGTGCTCAAGCTGCAGCCACAAGTGTTTAGCCCTGGAGATTACATCTGTAAGAAAGGGGATATTGGCAGGGAGATGTACATCATCAAGGAAGGGAAGCTAGCGGTGGTGGCTGACGATGGAGTGACTCAGTTTGTAGTGCTGAGCGATGGCGCGTACTTTGGTGAAATCAGCATCTTGGGTATCAAGGGCAGTAAAGCGGGCAACAGAAGAACGGCCAACATCAGAAGTGTGGGTTACTCTGACCTCTTTGCCCTTTCTAAGGACGACTTGATGGAAGCCCTCACCGAGTATCCAGATGCCAAGAAGGCTCTAGAAGAGAAGGGGAAAGCCATCCTGATGAAGGACAACCTGATCGACGAGGCGGTCGCCAATGCCGGCGCCGACCCCAAGGACATAGAGGAGAAGATTGTTAAACTGCAGAGCAATCTGGACACCATGCAGACCAAGTTCGCCCAGCTGATGGCGGAGTTCACGTTCAACTCGACAAGAATGAAGCAAAGAGTGTCAGCGATGGAGGACAAAGTGAAATCCATAAAACCAGAGGATCTGTCTGAGGTGGTGGCCGACAAAGACAAAAAGGTCCAGTAACGCAAGAGACACTCGAGAACTTTACAGCACACGAGGGAGTGTCACTTTTTAAAGGCCCACATTCATATCCATTTATACAGCATGTTTATTATCAGTATAATGTGTCAAACTGTGTACAGCAAATGTATATTTCTGTGTGTATGCTACGACTGACAGCCAATTTCTTATTTTTCATATATAAAACTACTAAGCGTGTTGGGAAAAAAAAAGGATTTTCATAATAGTAGAACCATTTTTGTCCCAGAAAATCTTTTTCTTCCATATTGATCTATTTGTGAAGTAAAAATGCAGCTGACACATCCATTTTACACTGCTTAAAAATGTACAAAGTGAAATGTCAGTGCTGTTGATAAGTTACTGTCGGCTATTGGCTGTAAATCTAATATGTGAATAAACATTAAAGTGTTCGTATAACATTCACTTTATACTGGTACATTGTCATGTTGTGGGTGAATGAACACGGGGAACTCACAGTTTTTTGTTTTTTGTTTTTCAGCCAAGCTATGTGATTAAAGGCACATAAATGTCATGCTTTTCCTGTTCTAAAGTTTTGTCAGTAGCACAAATTTTGTGTTTTGGAAACTTTGTTTTTTACCATGTTTCTATGACATAATGAAGAAACAAGCATTTCACAAGTTTCAAGTTTAAGTTGGAAATAAATCAGCCTTGATCTCCGTAATTTCCTCAGTTCTATAAGACATCCTGAATATCTGCTTCCAAATCATGGCTGATAATGATCCTTTCCTGGATGGACCACACTAAAAATATTCTCAAAGATCAGCTTCATCGCTGATCAACCCTTAAAAAGTGGGTGGATGATGGATGCAGAAGCTGATAACCAGCATGTCATAGAGAACTGCATGAGTTATGAATCTTTCCATGAATGTGGTTGCCAATAAAATCTCTGAAATTTTGATCACTCTTTACAGAAACATGAAAAAAAGAGAAGTTTGACAAAGAATATTTGTTTAACGTTTCCCCTCAGAGCTGAATTGCCCTTTAAAAGTCTTACATCTACTTTGACTACTCAAGTGCAGCAGAAAAGCAACTCAAAGGTCAAGTGATGACACATCATCTCTTATTTAACTGCTCAGTTCTTCTATTTCTCATAGATACACATAAATGTGATCTTGCATCACATGTATGTGTCGAATTTCCCAGAGGAACCCACCCGAGGGATTAATAAAGTTCTATCTTATCTTATCACTCTCGACTGAACCATTATCACCATGTTTTGTGAAAAGTCTGATTTTAGCTTCATCAGCAATGAAGGAAAACCAGCTCCTCTTTAAGCGAGTACCCCGTTGTGTTCATCAGCTATGTGCTAACTTATTCTGCTGCGTGTTGTCGAGCTGCTAAAATCTGATGGCAGTTATTGAAAGGAGAGGTGATATGCTGTGGCGACCTCTAGAGGTTTGAAACCAAATTTTCCAAAAGTAAGAACAAAGAAATGAATCTGTGACTGTGAGACAAGCCGCAGTCATGATCAGGTATTTATTTGAAAAACAGAGTTTCAGCTTAAAGTCTTCCAGTGAGTGTTAATGTTGTTGTTTTTTAATTCACCTTTATTTAATTTGCATAACAGAAGCTTTACAAAAGAGTTTCACGTTATCTGCACGTTCTGTGTTTTTACCTGAGACATTTGGCAAAATAAAACATGGTGTGACTCTTTTTCTTGTGTAGGCCTTGTACATTTGGCACCTCATGACTGTGCAATCAGTAAGATTAGCAAACAAACCAAAAGAAAGAGGAAGTGAAAGTCTGAACCCACCAGTCAGGAAGCATACTCTGAAACCAAACTGTCAGGTCACAACACAAAACTGTTAGATCGTAACCAGATATAATCACATCTGGATATAACATTTTTTTTTTATTTCTGGGTAAAGAAAATGTTTAAATATAAGCTTCTCTATGAGGTTGTTTTGACTTCAATAGCAGGAATTAAAAAAGGCTTCAGTTCAGCATATAGTAAATGACAATCATACCCAAAGAGCACCGTTATGCCCAGAGTGTGTGCACCGAATGCTGCTACATTACGACAACTGCAGAAAACACACAAAACAAGTCAAACTAAATGCAAAAAATATCCTGAATGTGCTCTGTGTAAGTGCACTTTCACAATACAGTTTGATGTTGGCTCAGAAACGAAACACGCGTGAAAAAATTTAAATATTTAAGCGCCTTTCAACTCTGGGAAATCTACAGACTGTAAGTAAAAGATGGACACAACCGCAGCTAAACTAAAGTAAAAGTAGGTGTGACAAAAACATTTCAGTTACTGTGGTAAACATTGAAACTAGAATTAAAAAAATACAATATTTTGTTCTTAAAAAAAACAAAAATAAAATAAAACCTTTTTTATTTTTAGTCTTGAGGAGCGTGGGGAGATACTGCTGCATGTGCTTGGTGAGGCTGGGACGTCCATGTGTTTTAATGCCTAATGTGAACTTCTTAAATCTGCACCCGAAAAACAGTCCTACAGACTAAAACGGATAAACGGATAAAAAATGAAACTAAAAACATGCAATAAAAACTAAACTGAGACGAGCAAACCCAGTCTGGAAACCACACTGATTAAAAAACAAAACATCAAAGTGAAATACAAATAAAAATCCATTAAAAATACAAATTGGTAGTAATGCTGAACCACGCTAATGACATCGACTGGTTCATGAGCTCCCGCTGTGAAGCCTCAAACTGAGTGTCGCACCATAACTGTTACATCTCCTGACATTTAGGTTTCAAAATCCAGTTTCTTTCTTTAGTTAGCTAGCTAGTTTTATGTCTAAAGATGTTCTAGTACTGATTTGTACAGATTTATATTTTTTAGGTTTTAAGGAGCACTGGTTTAAACTCTTAAACTGGTGAGGGAGCCCTGTTTTCTTTGGAGTAAAAAGAGCTCAAGCAACAATGACAGATGAGCACAGCTGTGCACGCACTATATTACTCTGGCTGAAGTGTTGAAATGATGTGTACCGAATTTATAATTATTCATAGTAAAGGTTGTGCAAAGGATGGGAAACAGGAAAATGGGAGGCCTCGGAGGCCAGTCACAGTAAAGCACAGCCTCCTTCTTGGCTTTAACAGGGGTTACTGGAAAATACTGACTCAGACCGTTAACTCATCGCGTGCACAGACGTCACCGGTGACGGGAGGTTTACAGATGTTTCCTGTGGACGTTCAGCCACCCTATTCCTTGTTCACTACACTGACGACCTCTGACAGCTGTTGTGCTTGTTCTTTTCATCACACTTGATAAAAAAAAGCTTACATTGTATTTCATTTAGCCTTATTAAATTATATTTAGCTCTTAATTACAACAATTGACTTTTTACTTATTTCATATTCGCTGCGTTTCGGTTATATTTTCTTTCTCTGCACTGATCTGTGAACTTTTTACATATATTTTTCCATTGTTCCACCTTTTGAGATAATGACATCTCATTCCACCAGTGGAGTCTCCCCCTGCTGGTCATCAGAAAGAATGCAAGTTTAAGGCGCTTGAGCTTCACTTCACCAGGAAATGGCGTCCATCTTTTAAATACAGTCTGTTGGGAAATCTAATGCATATGAAGTGTGAAAGGCCAGCAGTGGACTGCAGTAGTTTGGTTAGGCACAGGGTTATTACAGTATTTTTCTCCACTGCATTTCCCTATCCACTTTCTTAATACTCCCTTTTTTGGCTCTGATAACTTTGCGGCTTCGTCACAGCATCCCAAACCCTTTGGCATAAGTGATGGCCTTGAGAAGTCTCTCTCTCAGCTTTTCCTTGGAGGAGTACTCAGGGAGCAGCAGTGCATTAAAGCAGGTGTGGGAGGTTGGTAGCCTGCAAGAAAAATGGCAGAAGTGGGGAAATCTGAAATCAGCATCCACAGAGAGCTTTGAGTTACGGATCGTTTTTTTAAGATATGCTGAGCGTTTCTTAAATCTGGCCAGAGCAGCACCTGTCTGTGTCAGAGCCGTTCTTCGCAATGATCATTTTTAATTTGCCGAGCCCGCCAACAGGCGCCCTGTCTGAGCCCGTCGTGAACTGAAGAAATAATTTTTTTTGGTCTTCCCCAAATGAGTGGACGACTTCCCAGAAATCTCTGCACGTGGATAATTGAATAAAAACATTAAACTGATGAGAAAATGTGCATAAAGTTCAAGTACTTCCAAACATGTTTAGACTTTATCAGACTCACTTGATAACCTGACTGTCTTTGCTGTAGCCGCCGTCATATTCCGTCGTCTTTTCGAGCGCTTCAAAGTCCAGTTTCTGTGTAATGATCGGAGACTGTCATCAATGCAGCACCGAACACAATTAAGATATAAAAAATATAAATGGGGATGCGCTCTCTCACCCTGCTTCCACAGATAAGCAGCTCTACTTCTTCTGGTCTAAACAAATATTTCAGCGGGGACTCATTTGTGACCATTAGGAAGCCTTTTTTGAAGGCTTTGAATTGTCTCTCCACACTCTTGTTCAGGATGTAATCAGCATACAGATCCACAAACTCCTAAAAAAGGAAGGAAGTTAAATATATCTGAAGCAGTTTTTCATCATTAACTTTTTATAATCTGTATTTTTAGAGAGCAGACTCTACAGATTGCTCTGTCAAAGAATGCCGGCCGTATTGCATAACATACTACTTCGTCTTCATCGTGTGTTCCTGTTTCTGTACTTGTGAAATATACATTTCAGTCAAAAGAGGAACAGCAGAAGTGTCAGTTAGGGCTTCCTTATTTGTGTAGCGACACATTTGGTCTAGAATCAGACTTCCATCTTAACATATTATATAGCCACAGAAATGTCTAATTTTTAGGTAAGCTTAAATAAAAATGATGCATGGTTTTAAAGGAACCGGAGATAAATTAAAAGAAGAGACCAAAAATCAGAACAAGATAATAAACCAGTGCCTCCCCTCTGACTGCCTCAGAATTAGGGCTGTGCGATATGACCAAAATCTCATATCCCGATATAAGAATTCTATCGTCTGATAACGATATAAATCACAAAAATGTGTCATTTTCTGTAAATTCTGTGAATCTCGTGCAGCTCGACTTGAGGGAAGTGTTTCCAGCTGTGCGTCATGTAGCTGGAGTCGAGTGTTTTAACCGATGTATGAAACTATACATTTTTAGACATAAGTTGTAAAGGCCGCCGTTTTCTTTGTGAGTATTTATTATACAGCGTGCTGCGGGGAAAAGCCTGTTCTAACGTTTGAGTCTAAGGTTTATTTTTTAGCACCTGACGGCTCTTTTTTACTTCTCATCCGTAAACAATCTGCTCTTTCACGTGATTCAGTTTTTTTGAAAAGTCTGAACAGGATCTTGAGCTTTATTGTGAAAGGTTTATGTGGAACATAAACAAGCGGACACGCGATGCTGTTACCGTCTTGTTGCTAACCACAACGCATAAAAACAGGCGCTTGTCCGTCTGTAGTGTGGTTATATAAAATATAAGAGAAAGAGAGAACTTTAAAAAATTAATATAGCCACTACAAAAAATATTGCCGTAAACGGTTTATTTTGCGACACCACGAAACAAACGATAGCATAAAATGTTTTTATATCGTCGTCTGATATATATCGTTATATCGAACAGCCCTACTCAAAATCAGCTGATTTTCTTCTATAATAACTTTACTTATTACATAAATGTTAATAGAATATCTAATGAAGCAATGCACAATGGCTGTGAGGCTGGTCACTGACCTCCTGCTAACCCTGGTCACCAGGGAAAAGTGTGTATTCCTTGACTGGCTGGCAAGTGGTTACTGGAGTTGCTGAAATCCTTGTGATTGCTTTGATCGCTGGCAGGTTTGTCCATAAAATACTGGTTTGTCTGAAAATTCACCTACTCGCCAAGCGGTAGTGAAAAGTTCGACACAGACGTTCATAACTTTTTGGGGTGTAAGGTGCAATATTTTCCATTTTAAATGAACTCAGAAGTCATATATTTTTAATCCAGTGGATTATGGTATACCACTCAAAACACAAAATCTATTTGTTTGCACTAAAAGTTCTCCTACACGATCCAGAGTTTAACACCCATATTTGGGACACAGATACATCTTAGGCCATATATTATGACTATCGTATATTATGATGTCATCATATTGCCTAGCAATCACCTACCAATGGACCAAATGACTCATCCGTGGCCAATAATACACCAATGAAATCATAATTATATACACAAAACTCTCTCATTATTCATGATAGAGGACATCCCCACCACGTTGACTAGCAACCCCCTAACAACAGACTAAAATCACAGACCAAACAACACAGTAGCATGGGGATTTATTAGTAAACCAAAAAAGGACATATAAGGTGAATTAAGGAGCTGTAGCTGTAACACGGTCCAGCTCACACCTCACCTGTCGGTTCTCCTTAGTAACAGGAATCTGGTCTCCTTGCTCCTTTAAGTCGTGTATTACTGGGTTTCCAAAGAGGTCAGTGTGTGATATCTGGAAGGTCATCATCATGTCTTCTTCCACATTTCCCATATATTCAAGTACTCCCTTCAGACTTTGATAGAGAACCTGGAGCACAAAAAAAAGACAAGACTTTCTTTGCACAGGTGCCACTGATTTGATTACAGGGATGTATAACATTTTAAAACTACTGTGAATTGTAGTGATTCACTGTGAATGAGCTTTAGAGGAAGTTACTATACTGGATGTGAGTCTGACAGGTCCAAGTAGGTCCCTTTCTTTCCCATGAGCTTCCTGTAGACAACCATTGGAAAGTGGACGTCCAGGATGCAGTTGTTGTAAATCGCGAGACCGAGGACGATTCCAATAAGAGTGTACTGCGCTTCAGTCTCCAGAGAAGATGAATTAAACCAGAAAAGTTTGGTGTCGTTCTCGTAGGTGAACATTCCTGTTCGGAACATCAGGCACACAGGAAAATGGACATGGAAAAATTAAATGCATGAAGCAGCTCTGCGTAAATGACAGTTCAGAGTAATCCTTATTAATCTTAAATACTTAAATGTTTTATAGGTCAGTTTTCTTTTGATTGGCTGCCCCTTGTAAACTGAAGGTCTGAACAGCAGGTGGGTGGGGTTACTGTGCATGGGCTTGAAGAAAAATCCTCTGAAAGTTGTACAGGGATTAGACTGGAGATGTCCAAAGAAACCTTTGAAAGATCTTTAGAAAGCCCGGAGAAGTGTTGCTCTTTAAAGACCACTTTAAACGATCTAGCTCCTTGGATTCAAGACTTTTGAACTGCACGGCATTATTTTATTAAGTTTCTAGTTCTCATGCTAAGATGATCGTATCCTGACTTCAGCTTGCTGCATAATTAATAAAACATGACACTCATCTCAATCCCCCTGTTCGCCTGTCAAATAAATGTGTTCTTTTGTTCGGATACAAAACAACATTTACATAATGTCCACAGTCCACTTGGGCTTAAAATTCTCACCTATGTCAGGATTGAAGATTTCTTCAAGAACCAACTGAAAGAACTCCTTTGAAACGCCTCCCTCATCTACACCTTGCTCACCCTCAAACTCAACATAGAGCTGTTTCTTCAAGTCGGACGGGTTCTCCATGGAGATCATCTCCAGCTGCAACACAGAGGAGGTTTCACTTTTCAAACTGAACAACACTGATTTCGACATCCTCCAATTACCCTAAGGCAGCGCAACTCACTCTGACGAGAGCGTCGTCGATGATGTGGTCTCTGCGCACTTTGAGCTTGAGGTAGGGGTTGGGCTGCTGCCCCTGGACCATGCTGAAAAGAGCCGTGAGGCGTCGCTCGCTGTACATTCGGATCCTGTTGTCGTAGTACAGCCCTTGGTTCTTGGTGATGACACTGAGGATGAAAGGGCAAGTCTGGAAAGAAAACTTTGTTTCTGCATTGACCTTGAAGAAAGTGAAGTCCTTGTCCATCTCGATGACATCGTTAAGCGATTCGTTAATAAAATCCTCGAAGGGGATGAGAGGCTTTATGCTGTCCATCGGTCGGACGCCCAGTTCTTTCTCCAGGGGATTTATGCGGGGGCCTTTCTTATAGAGCCTTTCCTCGCCAAGCAGCTCGTGCAGCGTCAGCTCGTCTGAGTCAGAGTCTTCCTCGTCCTCCTCGTTGTGCTCTACGTCCACGTCACCTCCCAGAATGCTTGCAAAGAAGACGACCTGTAAACACTGCGTCGCAGCCACCACAGTCTCGTCGTCGTTTACCAGATTTTCGCCGTCGTATTCGTTGCTAACAACTGTAAACGTAATGAGCTGCTGGAAGGTCTCCATCATACGGCGGATGTGCGGGAGATCGTACTTTGACCAGAGCTTCGTCAGCCTGGCAAGCGCGGTCACTGGAAGTTTGCTCATTGCTTTGCAGAACTGTGGTAACGCCACTTCGAGGTACTCTGGGCTGTGAAGGTTACTATTCTCCATGACGATAATGAAGATGTTCAGGTAATCTGGGTTTGTTTCGTATACGTCAAGATATTCCAGGTCAAGTTCAACATTTGGAGTGAGGTAAATGAGAGCATTCACCAGGGCCACCTGCAGCTGGTCGATAGACAGAAGTCTGTCGTAGACTCTCCTCACAGCGCCAATGTCCACTGTAACCTCACAGGCATCAAACACTTCATTCAAAGCCTCACCTGGCAAAGAGGCTGCAGAAGAAGCACCTGTCTTCTCTGAGCTTCTCTCACTCTGTTTCTCATCTTTCTTCATATCTGCCGGTTTACAAGACTCAAGGTTGTCGGTAGAATTGGATTCATCTTTCCTGAAACTCTTCATCAGGGCTTCTGCATTGGAGAAGACCCTGCCGATGACTCGGACGAGAGCAGAATAATCCCCTTCTTCTTCACAGAAACCCAAGATCGTACAGACTGTGTTCTCTGTGAGGTGATGAACCTCTGCAACAGAACAAACTAATTTAGGGACTGGTTCAAAGTTAGCATCTGCAAGAGTCCAGAGCTAGCCATACAGTACCTGAGAAGTCCTCCTTGGTGAAACCAGGGTCTTTATCGCTCATCTCACTGCCCTCCTGAGTTCTTCCGTCAGCACTGGCCGTGATGGAGGGGTGATAATCACAGAGTTTGGCATTAATCTTAAACAGCTCGAGCGCTTTGGCAGCTGCTGAATTGTTATCCAAAGGTTGAAAATCACAACATGATGCGCAAAACTCATTCGTGCAGTTGCCATTTCCACAGCCTTCAGTTAACTGCCGAAAGTAGCGCTCAATTAGAAGCTTTGCAGTCGCTCTGTTCCTGCGTAGGACATTCAGACAGAAGTCAGACTGATGGTAACAAAACCTTCTAGGGTTAAAAAACAACAACAACTAAAACACAAACAATGAACTTTGGTTCTGTATAAACTGAGTTACAGGCCCTTCAAGTAAATAGGAGTGGGTGAAACTTTGGCAGGTATTAGTGATTTTTTTCCAACACTTTTGAGAGTTCATAAAGTACAGGAGATAACCACGTCAAGTATTCAGAGCAGAAAACTCATTTTAGCTCTGTTTCTTATTGTTTAGACTGATTGCTCTGAAGCATCAGTATGATTTGCTCTTTCATAGTCTGAATAAACTGCAGCACTTTTATGTCTGTGATGTCGAGGAACAGAAATGAGAACAGATTCGTTTTCTGATCAATTCCTATCTCATTTACTGGAGAAGACTTTGAAAAGTAATTGATATTATCATCACTTTCTAGGGTTAGAAAAATAAAAATTAAGTTTTTTTCCTGTACAAACTATATTAACCACAAGCTGTATATAAAAGATGGACACAGACAACATAGGGTCACACATCCTGTTGCGAAGCCATAGGCTGAGTGCCTTCCACATGATGGATCTAAAAATGAGGGACACTGGTGGCTCACAGGCAAATGACTTATCCATGGCATAGTAAATCATACCCTGCTTTGCTCTGCTTTTTCAATCTAATGGGACAATAATTTAGAAAAAGAGCATCATGTTTTATTCAAGATGACTTAAACTAGTGACTGAACCCAAAAACCTTTCAGGAAAGTGTTTACTGAGCTCGGTTCAGTGAGCAGTGAGCTCATTTTCTCATAGAAGTCACTGCCTCCTACTAGACATTAAAAAGATGTCAGGTTTAAGGCACTAAGTGTTGTTTATACTTTTCAGATCTGCAAACCATGTTCATCTTTTAGATCCAGTTTATGTATTTAACAGTCAATTTATACATGTTCTTGCTGTGAGAGGCTAAAATATTATCATCTATGAACAGTAAAGAGGGAGTGCAACTGTGACCAAAAACATCAGTCTAATGAATCATATTAGCTTAGCTTGTGCCAGCTGAGGTCCAGATTATAGTCGGTCTTACATTCGGCTGGATTCAGATTCCCCTCTGCAGGCCCGGTGAACAATGCTCTGAAAGTAGAGTTTAAAAGCACTGTAAGATCTTATTTGCAGGTAAAAGCCTTTAAATAAAAGCTTAAAGTCTTAACAACTTAAAGCAACAACAAAAAATAAATAAATACCATAGTTATTTATTATTATTTCTGCTCCTTTTATGGTTTTAACTCATGGTTTTATTTGTTTTAATTTGTCATTATCAATATAATGTGCTGGAGCCTCTACTCTACTCCACTGTTGTGTTTCTAGCTGGAATAAAATCTTTTATATAAATAAAGTTTTTCTCTTTTGAAGCACCACAATCTAAGGCAAGATCTACAGATCTAAGGCAATTGATAATGCACAAGTTAGCAGGTTTATCAAGCTCAAATAAAGGCTTCATCATCATCATCATTAGCGCCCATCCATTTAGCCCAGCCATCAATGTTCAGTCTTACAGCTGCAACCCTGGTGATGTAAATTTTTTTGAAAGTATTCTATTCTATTATTCTATATTAAAGGTGCAGTGTGTAAAATCTCACCACTCGATGTCAGAGTTTTGCAGTTTTTCTGAGCATGGCATGATCTGACCATGGTATGAACTCGCTGGGAAAATTGTGGCATTGTGTTAACACACGCCTAAATGCGTCAGAGCAGCAAACTGCCAAACATGGTGCTCACGTTTACTGATCATCAATTAATCAGTGCATTTGATTAGCAACTCTTGGCTTCTACTGCTCCTCTTAATTCATATGGAAACAGGCCAACAGAGCCCCGTGAAAACTTTCTTTTTCACATGACCATACTTCTAAGAGTATAAGATTCTTTCCTTTGTATATGAATATAAATATAATGTATACTCTTCTTCTTCTTCCTTCGGTTGGACCTTTAAAAAGTCACCACAGCTATACACGACAGCAGGTGTCACTAAACCTTCTTTTTCCACTTCTGCTTCTATTCTTTTGCCACAAATCACCTCTGAAACCTTGGGTGGTTGACCCCAGTTATTAAAACTCATCTACCTTCTAAATCTCTACTCCTTTCCACCTGTCTCCCTCTCATTCACATACATATTCTTATTTCAGCTGGCTTTTTTCCCTCTTCTCTCGTGAGCATACCTCCACCTGCTCCCTACGCTTACCATGGATCACAATGTCATCTGCAAACATCACAGTCCACAGAGATGCCTGCTTGTATCATCTGTCAGCCTGTCCATCAAGGACAAGGTGCCTTGAACTAAAAACATTCAAATATAACAGAAACTATTTTTTTGTACAAGTGGCTGGTTGATGAAATTTCTTCTTCCTGCAGCTTTTTCATTCACCTTCATGTAAGTGTGGATGTTGCTATACACATATAGATATATTTGTATACACACATATCTATATATACACATGTATATATAGATTTATGTGTGTATACATATATATACACACATATATATGTGTATACATATATGTGTGTGTGTGTGTGTGTGTGTATATATTTGTGTATATATGTGTGTATATACACATATACATACATACACACACGTATATACATACATACATCTATATCTAAATATATCTATATCTAAATATATATACATACATACACTATTGATCTACTTATAAACTTGTCTATTTTACTCAATTAATTTAATATATTTAAGCTCTGTAATGTCTAATGTTTTGGTTGCTGTATGACAGGAAGTATACAACTTATAAATATATAAATAACATTGCACAACATAAAAATATAAATAATATTTTCTAAATTATCAGCGTTACTGGTAATTAGGCTGTGACTCTGCTTTCAAACAGCTGTCAGCGTTTCAGTTTAACAGACTCTAAATCGCTTCGTTTCAGAGTAAAAAACGTGCAGTGAGCGGTGAATCGAGTGTCGTGTCGTGTCCTGTCTCAGCACCGACCTGTGATTTGAAGTCCTGTCTGTCAGTGACAGTGCAAAAAAAAATCTCTTCAGTCACTCGGACCGCGGTCACACCCACGTCACAAAATAATACACTTTACAGGGATATTAATGCTTGTTAATAAGGCCGATAGAAGCTGACAACACGCAGAGCTCCAAATGATTTTAGTTTGTTGAGTCACAGCGAATTTATTTCCTCTAACAGCCTGTAAACAACGGCGCCATATACGCTCTTCTTCTCCGCCTGGTTTCCTCCACACAGCGCAGGCGCAATGCTGCCCCCTACTGTTCACCGTGCTGCTAAACTCTTTAATTTAACTGGCTGCAGCTACAGCCACATCATCCAGGATCAGCAAGCAGAGTGAAAACAGCAGAAACAAGTTTCCTGTGGGTAAAAGATTCACTAATTCAATAATTTAATATGTAAAGAATATTCCTCAGTCATTAAGGATAATCATAAAAACACAATAATAATAATAATAATAATAATAATAATAATATAATAGTGATGATACTACTACTACTTTTAATAATAATGATGATATTACCACTACTACTACTACTACTACTAATAATAATAATACAATGTTCTCTCCCCTTCTTTTTCTTCTTCCTTAACATTCACGTATCTGATATCAGTGTCTGTTTGATGAAGAACATTCAAGGAAGATCACCATATATAAGAAAAGATGTCAAGATTTAAAATTTACTGGGGAAAAAAAAGGAAAATTAGGTGTGGACTGGTCCTCCACAATGGGTCACTTTAGTCAGAAAATTCTGGTAAATAATCAGAAGTTGTCTGCTTGTGAGGTAAAATATGACATTTCTCATGGATTTGAATGGGTTGAATTCAAATATGACAGTTAAAATTGGTGATTAACTACAGTTTCCATGATATTTACTTAAGGCTGCTTAATATGATGATATTTCGCCTTTCTGTGCAAGGTCCTGTGTCTCACTACAGCTGAGGTGAGGAAAACTCTACGCAGAGTCAACCCACATAAAACTGCTGGACCAGACAACATCCCAGGCAGAGTGCTCAGAGAATGTGCTGATCAGCTGGCAGATGTTCTCACCGACATCTTCAACATCTCTCTGAGCAGTGCCGTCGTTCCCACGTGCTTCAAGGCCACCACCATCGTCCCCGTGCCCAAGAAGTCTTCGTTGTCCTGTCTCAACGACTACTGTCCTGTTGCACTTACACCCACCATCACGAAGCGCTTTGAGCGGCTCGTCATGAGACACATCAAGACCCTGCTGCCCCCCTCACTGGACCCACTGCAATTTGCATACCGCCATAACCGCTCAACGGACGACGCCATCTCCACTGCACTCCATCTTGCCTTGACACACTTGGACAAGAAGGACTCACACATCCAAATGCTGTACATAGATTTCAGCTCAGCATTCAACACAATCATCCCCCAACAACTGATCGGAAAGCTGAGCCTGTTGGGCCTGAACACCTCCCTCTGCAACTGGATCCTGGACTTTCTGACCGGAAGGCCTCAGTCAGTACGGATCGGGAACTGCACCTCCAGCACCACCACATTGAGCACTGGGGCCCCACAAGGCTGTGTGCTCAGTCCTCTGCTGTTCACACTGCTGACTCATGACTGTGTAGCAACACACAGTTCAAATCACATCATTAATTTCGCTGATGACACGACCGTGGTGGGTCTCATTAGCAAGAACGACGAGTCGGCGTACAGGGAGGAAGTGCAGAGACTAACGGACTGGTGTAAAGACAACAACCTGTCTCTGAATGTTGACAAGACAAAAGAGATGGTTGTTGACTTTAGGAGGACACGAGGCGACCACTCACCGCTGAGCATCAACGGCTCCTCTGTGGAGATCGTCGACAGCACCAAATTCCTGGGCGTCCACCTGGAGAAGGACCTTGGCTGGTCCCTCAACACCAGCTCCCTGCACAAGAAAGCCCAACAGCGTCTCTTCTTTCTGAGAAGACTGAGAAAGGCCCGGCTTCCACCACCGATCCTGACCACCTTCTATAGAGGAACTATCGAGAGCATCCTGAGCGGCTGCATCACTGTCTGGTTTGGGAACTGTGCCATATCGGACCGCAAGACCCTACAGCGGATAGTGGGAACAGCAGAGAAGATCATCGGGGTCTCTCTCCCCTCTATTGAGGACATCTACACCACACGCTGCATTCGCAAAGCCACCAGCATTGTGGCTGATCGGACACACCCCTTTCACACACTCTTCACACTCCTGCCATCTGGAAAAAGGTACCGAAGCATTTGGGCACACACATCCAGACTGTGCAGCAGCTTTTTTCCACAAGCCACCCGTCTCCTCAGCAAAAAGGGACTGACTGATAAACATACACGCACGCACACACACACACGCACGCACGCACGCACGCACGCACACACACACACACATTATCACTCAGGTTAACTCAACTACCTGAAAATATTGAGACTGGACTGACTAATCAACACAAGCGCAAACACACTGACCTACACCACCAAACCATCGTACACACCAACCTGTAAATGCTCTTTTGCACAATATTATTACTGGACTTTTTGCACTAACTTCTGTACTTCCTAATTTTTGCTGCTACACTAAGGAATGTTTACTGTTCCTCCACTACCTCAACTCATCATCACAAAACCTTATTATTATGTTACGTTGTGTTTTTCTATCATTCTGTCACTTTGCTGCTGCTCTTGTTTGCACATTTGCACGTGCACTTTGTTGTCTGCTGTCTGATAACAAAAAAAAGGTCTTCCTTAGATAGTTAGATAGTTAGTTTTTTTTTTTTTGTTAATTTATGTTGTAATTTATGTTAGGTCAGTCTGTCTTGTCTCTGCTAGCCAGCTAACTAGGCCTCTTAGTTAGCTAGTTTAGTGTTTTCTGTTAATTTATGTTGTAAATTTATGTTGCATGTAGCACCTTGGTTCCTGGAGGAACGTTGTTTCGCCTCACTGTGTACTGTTAAACTGTATATGGTTGAAGTGACAATAAAGCCAACTTGACTTGACTTGACTTTCTTCATTATGTACCAGAAGAACTCTACATAGAGAACACTTGATATAACAATATATAGTATAGCAGGATTGTTTAGAGCCTGGCCATGTTGTGTCCAGTTGCCCAAAATATTACAGCACGAAGATCTGTTGGTTTACACTCAACTCAGCAACAATACTTATTTAAATTATTTAACATGAAGATCATGCATTAGTGTGCTTCCAGTATGTATAATCTTTTCTCCAGCTTGTCCTCAGCATACATTGGGCTGACTTTAAGGTGTCTATTCTGTAGGTTTTTTTGGTCTGCAACCTTGCAGTCCATTCCTTGTGATTGTCTTCTTTGAGACTTCAATTCCAGACTTGGCTAAATCACTTGTTAGTGACCTGGCTGTTGATTCTTCAGACACATCTTTCATTGGTTTCTTTTCAGTCTTTGAAATCTTTTCTTTTCCCACCTCTGACAGGCTTGTTCTTTACTGTGTGACTCACAAAACCTCGCTGAAGTTTTTATACTGTGAGTAAGTTTTTATTTGATTTTGAAAGCTTTGAGCATTAAAAAGTTAAATAATATAATTACATGGCAGTGGTTTGCTTTTTGGGTAGTTTTTGGAGGAGAAATAATTCTGTTATGGTGCACAAAAAGAAATAATTTATGCTTTCTAAAGAAAACCGGTGTTTTTAGAAATTCTATGTTGAAAATCCCTCACTCGAGTATAATCATGGGAATGATTTTGCTTGACTGAAGAGACGGAACAGAATATATAGCACGAGTCTGAATACTCTCAGAGCTGATGTGGGCCAGCACACACTGCCATCTCGTTCATAACCTCTAAATCATATTCAGCCACCATAAATCAAAGCTGACACGCAGAGCAGGTACAGTCAAAACCGCCTTGTAAATTATGCATTATCTAATCCATGTGCATTGCTCTCATGGTGCAGAGGAGATGTTTGTTATTCTGTCAGTGTTCAAACCTGATATACAGTTTTCTTTGTGTGACATTTGGTTTGTGTGCCTATCAATCCCCTGTGTCACACTGCACAGCAAGAGGCCTTCATCTCCTAAAAGTGGAGGTCAGAATACAGCCAATATTAGCTCGGCAGGGGAGACGTAACACACATGCATCAACATTACAATGAGCGGGTGGAGGGAGGTTCGGAGTCTTCTCTCACCCCCGTTCTCTGCGACCTGCTGGAGCAGGGGGGCTAGGACTAGGAGGAGGAGTTGGCCGTCCGACTGCGGTCTGGAGTGTGGAGCCTTCCTGCTGCTGCGGAGTCGGGGCGGTCTGCCTCCCCCCACCGCAGGGAAAAGGGAAACACCACCTGGGTCTGGGTGCAGTTCCCCCCTCCAGGGGCGGGGGCACCTAGACCCGGTTTGTAGAGTACGCTTGGGGAGTGTGATCGTGTGTACAACGTCTCTTTATGTCTGTCTCCACGTTGGTTGAGTGTGGAGTGAGTGCATATGAGAGCATGAGGGTGGGAATGGATGTTTGTGTATGTGTGTGCCTGTATGTCTGTGTCTATATGTCAGGTTGGGTGTCAGGCGCCACCTCTCTGGGGACATCTCAGGCCCTCCAAGGTTTGGAGGCCTATCTCCCCCTACCACCACTTCCCCTGCCAGTGGCGGACCCCCTCAGACATCAGTGCGTTGGTGGTTCTTTGTGTCCGGGGATGGGCGTCCAGGTACACACCGGCTCACTCCTTGGCGGCCGCTTATCGGGGCCTGGAGCCTGGGGCTCGCTCGGGCCACTTCGGAGGTGGGGTGCCCCCGGCCTCTCGGCCTGGGCTCGGTCACTCAGGCGCAGCTGGCTGCCGGCGGAGCTCACGGGCGCGTCACTGCAACTCCCCCTGGCTTCTGCTCCGCGGCTGCTGAGTGAGCCCTCATCTGGGACTCTCCTCAGCTCTTTCCGGGACAGTGGCGCAACTGCCCCTCTGTTGGTCTTCCTTGGTCTCTTGTGTTCTGGGGGCCTCTGGATGTCTGGAGTTTTGATCTCCTCCACACCTGCTTCACGCCCTGGAGGACGGGGCTGTGGCCCCCCCACACCCTCTAGCAGATTATTACATGAAGGAACCTTTTAAAAAAACAAAAAACAAGCGCGTCCATGCTCACAGGTGTACACACGGGTGATCACACCCACAAACTACACCCTTTTTGGCTCCTACCTCAAAGCACACTGTGTTCTGTTGATCTTATGTGCTGCACAATAATGTTTAACATTTAGTATTTACTGTCATATTCCCATATA